AAAAAGAGGGAGAGAAATCAACAGCAAGAAAACAATTTCAAACGTACCCATTAAACGAAATCAATCTCCACTTGGAAATTTTTTCAAGCCCGTCATCTGTCAAGACTCTGTCATAAAAAATCACAAGTCAGTATTTACATAAATATACACACGAGAGCAGATCAATAGGAAAAATGGGCACAAGAAAAAAAGCGAAAAAGGAAAAAACACGAAGGATTTACATATGCTCTGGCAGGTAAAAATAGGATCAAATCGGCGTTAATGGTTCTGGTAAAGGACAACTTAGAGGCGAGGTTTCAAGATTTGACGCTGTGGGGAAGACGAATAGACCGATTTTGCATTTTATTTATTTATTTCTTGGGAAGAAAAGCATAAACAAATTTGGATGAATCAAGAAAGGCCGGGCCGAACAATGCGTTTACGGGTCCGGGCCAGAGATTGGATAGCATTAGCATAATTTTGGATATGATTTTTTCTATCTTCAATGTTAGTTAATCGTTTTGTAGAAATGTTATAAGTACGTAATACTAAATATGAGTGTAACATAGCGGTGTACATAACAGTCACATTAAGGAAGTCCTACCAAAAATAAAATGAGAAATGCTATAGGTACATAATACGAGGTGTACATAACACTCACATTAGGTGGGTCCTACAAAAAATAAAAAATAAAGTGGACCTCAGTCCATGTGAGTGTTATGTACACCTCTATGTATATTTATTATATACTTGTAGCATTTTTCATCTTTTTAATTAGTATCGTCTCACATGCACAAATGCAAATAAAATTTTATATATTATATGTGTATAATATTTAAAATCATAGTTAAATAAATTCATTGTTAAATAACGAACATATCATATTTTATAAATTTTATCATTAATAAAAAGGAGTGGCATCAATATAAGTTATTTAACTTACATATTAATTTTTATATTGACTGCAACAATGTAATATTTTCAATCTTGATTGATTATGATCAATTAATTAGATAAACAATATTAAAATTGTTAGTATAGCAATTTTGTATTGCTCGGTAATAGATCTCAGGTCGGCTCGGTTCGACCCGACTGGCCTTTATAACCAATCAAAGCCATGTAACCTCTACAAACTAACGTCGGGGATGTTTTATCGCGAGAGCTCTGACACCCAAGTCATAACGTGTATGAAGACGATGAACAGTGTACACAAAGCAGTGTAAATATAGAGTGTGAAAAGAACATAATGTTGCAATTGGCATACCTCTCCCCTTTAAATAGAAGGATTATATTACCTTGTTGCCCAATACTACCAAGATGCACTGCCCAGACTACTTGAACAACTCATCCATACTACCCGAACTGTCCAATTCTGTTAGGCCACGTGGCCCTATGCACTTGTGGATCTTACCTTAATAATATTCATTCTTATCCATTAATCTACCTTATTATGCGGTCTAATCGTGCGGCCGACCCAAATTACCTCGAGGTGTAGTGTTTCATGTGCTATAAAATTCATATATTTGATTTATGCTATTTTAAATATATATTTCAATATTAAAATATATGCATATTTATTTTAAATATATATTTTAATATTAAATATATATATATATATATATATATAATTGCTAGCAAAACATTAATAAAAATATTTTCATTTCTCTCCAAAGACGTACAAACATATTTTTACTTTTATTTTTTTAAATACATAAAAATTTGTAACAACTTTTTACATTAATAGTATCTATATATATTAATAAACATACCTTTTCTTTTATATAAAATGTTAAAAAAAAAAAACTTATGATTGGAAAAGAATTATTTACTTTTCATTTTAACCAATGTTCAATTTTTTTAAACGTAATATTATTATTTAACTTATAATTTTAATATTTTATGTATAAATATAACTTATAATACTTTATGTTTAAAATGTAATATAATTATTTAACTTATAATTTTAATATTATGTACATCTGTGCAAATGCACAAGATTAAATACTAATATTGAAAAAAGTATAATTTACTTATTATTATGCTCGAACAATTTGGCCCCGTTTGGTAGATAGCGGATTGAAGGTAAATTAGCGGATTGGACTTAATTGAGAGGTTTGACCCGTCAAATCCGCTATTGAGTCTGTTTGGTAAATAGCTTATTTGATAAGCTTTTTGGGCTCAAACCTCTAATTTAGAAAAATTAGAGGAGCTTTTTGGGGATAGAGGATTCACAAAAAAACTTTTTACTTGGAACTTTTTAATTTGTATTATTTATTTTAAAATCTATATTGGTTTATGGTGCTAATAAATAATAATATGTCATCCATATGATTAATTTATCTAGAAAAATATAAGGTTCATAACTTCTTCATCAAGTTTTAGGCAATTTAAAGAAAAAAATAATATATTTATAAATTACCAACTAAAGAATATTAAATGTTTTAATATATTATTATTAAAAAAATACACCCTAAATAATAAAATATTCTTATTGGTCATTTTGTAATGTCAAATAGCTATAAGCTTTCAGCTATTTACCAAACACTTATTTAAAAACCGCTAATGCAATCTGCTGGTCAAATCAGCTAATATAATCCGCTATCCACTATCCGCTGATACAATCTGCTATCCGCTATCCGCTGATCGCCAAACAAGGCCAATATTGCTATACATCTACCATAAGCATTTCCACTTCATGCGACCTTACAAAATTTCCTTCTCCCAAGTCCTTTCTTTAAAACAAAGAATGAACAGTAGGTTTTTTGTTTGATAAACACACAATTAAATTATATACTTATTAGTAAAAATATAATTTTCCATTATACCATATTTTATATCTACAAATTATTAATAAAAAACATGATATAATCTATACTTATATAGAAAAGTCATTCTATTTATTATAAATAGTAGGCAGAAAAGTCAAAGGTAATTAATGCATTCTATTTCCATCAATTTTTTCAATTGTATTATTATTTTATTGCTAAAAAACCGGTTTGCATTAATTCATCCTTAAATGATGTATTTTGAAATAAAATCGGACAAATAGACTTCAAGTAAAAACTTGTCTCATTTCAAATTTAAATTTAAATATTAAAATTTCTTATCATTTTGTTACATTAAAATCCTGAATGAATTGTTTGCCATAAAATCGGACAAAATAATAATTGCATAGAATTTAAGTAAAAACATGTCTCATTTAAAATTAAAAATTTTAAATTCCTTATCATTTTGTTACATTTCCGAATGATTTGTTTCACATAACATCAGACGGAATTAATAATTGCATAGAATTCAATTATGATTTCGAATTTATATCAAGAATGTTTAATAATTGCACAGAATTTCAAAGATGTTTATTTATTATAAAAAAAATAAATTCTAAAAAAAATTTGTGTATATTTTGTAAAATATTTGTCCAAAATGTTTTACTTTAAATTTATTTACATAATTTAAATTAATTACATTAATAAATAATATGAACATATATTAAAAAATTTAATTACATAAAACAAAAAGAAGAAGAAGACTACATCTATAACTTGTATAAATAATAATAATGACATTATATTACAATAAATTTTATAATAAAATAATATGAGTATTATATGAGGAACATGATTACGTAAAATTATTATTTTTCTTATATTAAAGAATAAATATATATAATGAAATCAAATTTATATTATTATAAACAGGGGCAAACGCAGACTCGCATGACTGAGGGAGCACAAACGTAACATTTACAAAGTGCAAAAAAAAAAAATATTATATTTATTCTATGCATGTTCTTATAAATTCTATCACTCATAATTACATAAATTCAAATCTTATTAAATATATCTTTTTTAAATACCAATATTTTTTTTCTTTTACATTGGATATTCTTACAACGTCAGCATTCATGGACTTCCTTATAAAGATAAATATTTTTTTAGTTAAAAAATAATGACAAACACAATTTAGTAGCTAATTTTAAACTTATAATTATAATTTTTAGAACACCTAAAATTCAATATATATGTATTAAAATTAATGTTGGCTTTTGTGGAAAATCGATATAACTCATTTATATATGTTGCCTACAACATAATACAAATAGAAAATGCAAACGACTTAAATTTTGAGAAAATCTCTTTGTAATTAATCTAAAATATAACTATATATGTATTAATTTTTTTAAAAAATTACACAGAGGCCCGTGCCCCTACGGACCCCTGCCTCCATCCGCTCCTGATTATAAACATTGTGAGCGAGATAATATATTAATTAATTTACGGGCTAGCGCTACTAGACTCAAATTTAATGTTCCGACAAAGAAAAATGACATTGATGAAAAAATATAAAAAGATAGATGATCAAACTCTATTATTTTTTAGGTCTGAACGGACAAACCCTATGGTCAATTCATTTAATATCTCCCGTGAATCGCACGAGCTATTTAACGGACAAACCCTGTGAAAATGACTCATTTAATATTTCTGTCTCGTACATCGCACGAGTTACGTACTAGCTTGGGAATTAAATGGCCAAGGTTATACAAATTATCCGATAATTAATTAGGCAGTGATTACAGTGACGACTTACGTCTATAAATAATTGGGATATAGTTTCAATGATGACTGACGTGTATAACAATGGATAATAATCCAGCTTTAATGGATGAGATATTGAAATAAACTCGGGGTGAATGAGATCCTAAACATGGTCCTGAAATCGTAAGTGAAATTTCATGCAATACAGCAATAATAACGAATGAATTTTGAACTCATAATGTGTGTCATTTTATTGGTAAACTAGTGATGTGCAAAAATAAGACTGAATGGTGTTGCATTTTTAATAAAATAAACGTTTATAGATAATAATTATTCTATTTTTCTTTTATATGCTGACACTTCAGAAGATTACTTAATAAAAAGTTACCCGCTCGATCCAACGGTCAAAAAGTTGACATCAATAAGAGATTGTATATATACTTAATTATTAAATAAAGATTTCACAATTGAAATTGGTGAAATTATGCACTTTTAACAAATAATAAAAGAAAATAATGCATTTTTACTCAAAAATAATTTTCTAAATCTGACATTTTATACTAAATATTTTCTGTGAGCAAAATCATAAATCAGCTTTTCACTATTTTGGATACAATGTCTCTGAGATTACTGTATATCTAACTAAATTAAATTACACACACGAGATATATCATCATCCATTTATCCTGAACTCCCTAATGAAATTTTTTTCCCAATATTAACATTATATTTGTCTGCCAAACACCAAATTATCCTGTCCCTATCCAATCCTAAATTTATTGGTCAACATCATTTATTATTACTATATTATATATGCACACACTATCCATTTTCTGAGTTGGGTATTCACGCCAAGGAGAAAAATCAAGA